GGCTTCTTAGGGACGTCCTCATGCACTACTATGGTCCTCTCTCGTCTGTATTTGCCTCCATCATAGCTATCATCTGTTTCATGAGGGCTATCTTTCACATTAATCCCAATCCAGCCATGCACACTTAATACAGTCAAGTAATTTGGTCAGTCCAATCCATCCACTTTTTGACACCAGTTGTCATGTAGTATGGAGTCACTGTAGATGGGGTTTTGGATTGGATATTGGATTTATTTACCACTTTAGCACACAACTCAGAACTACAAGTAATTACAGCATCAACGCTATCTCCACACTTTACAGATCAACAGAGCACACACTAAGGCTTTCCCAGCCTGCTGTGTCTTCATCAGCCATTCCCTGGTAACTGCTTCTAGCAGTGGAGATTCTTCACCTTGAGTGCTCAAGTCCTGTGTTTACAGCTTCCCACACAGAACTTCCTTGTAACTTCAGCATGGATCGCCATAGAAACCCCTGTTTCCCACAGTACCTCTGTTAGATTCTAAAGGGTTCTGATGATGGTGGATGACACACTGAATTACTGGGTTTTTGGACTTTTTCCATCGCCCAGAATTATAGATTATAGAGGACACGACGTTTCGGAAACTGGATTTGTTTCCATCTTCGGGTGAGAAAGGAAGACACCTACTCAGTTGAGCCCCCTAGAAAGAGCTTATCTCAATCACTGGCACTTTCTAAGGGGTCCAGCTGACTAGGTATCTTCCTTTCTCACCTGAAGATGGAAACAGATCCAGTTTCCGTAATGTTGTGTCCTCTGTTGCCTAGAATTCTGGATGATGGAAAAAGTCCAAAAACTCAGTAATTCTGGGTACCTTTATTGTTGCATGCCTATCCATTGCTGAAGGAATATGTTTACCAAGCCCTTGCCTAGAAACTAGTGTTGTTTCAGAGCCGTTTGCTAGCAACAGTTGTTTCTTTGGCTACACAGTTCTTGCTTTGAGCAAATATGCCACAATATGTTTCTTTCCAGGAATCTCATGGCAGCAGCATGAATGAAACAGACATGTGCTGTTTTCATTGTTTTATCTTACAAGAGGTTCTCCTGCTTATAACACGTCATAGATAGGAAATTTTTGCAGTGCTGAGATTGATGTTTTGTTCATTTTAAGTCAAATTTTATTTTATATTAGCTGTGCCCGGCCACGCCTTGCTGTGGCTCAGTCTGCCCGTTCTTCCCCAATTTGATTTGAAATTACTCAACACATTGCTTCCGCTCCATGAGTATGACTACCTAAGATTGTTCTTAGAAAACAAAAAGAAAAACAACGAAAAATAAACTATACTTATGAAATAACATCCACGCACGTCTCGGATTCAGCGAATAAGTTATTGAACGCTCACTTTTACACCAGCGAGCACAACTATTATCACGTCCAGTATCACCGAAAATTTCTTCGGAGCTGGACTATTATAACCTGGTTTCGGACGCAGTAGAGGGCACTTTCGCCCAGGGTTCTATTTCACGTGTTCTGTGCTTGTTGCTGCAGAAATGCATTGTTTCCGCTGTTTCAACAGTTCGTTGCCACGGTTATTCCAAGGCAACGATGTGCTGTTTCAACAGTTCGTTGCGACGGTTATTCCAAGGCAACAACCCGCTGTTTCAACAGTTTGTTGCCACGGTTATTCCAAGGCAACGACCCGCTGTTTCAACAGTTCGTTGCCATGGTTATTCCTAGGCAATGATCTGTTGGTATTCGATGGACGACGTATAACACGTTACAGTATATTAATATTGAATACAATTAATACTTTTACCTGTTTTTACCTGTCACGGGTGTGACATCTACATAATAGGCATAATAGGCATATAAAAACACGCGCGTGTTCAAATGCAACATTGTGTCAAAATTTCGAAGCAATCGGTGAAGAACTTTCAGAGATCTTCGAGGAGAGCCAAACCGACAGTTACGTTTTTATTTATATACATATTTATCGTTGATAATGTTGGAGAAATTTACATATTTAAGAAAAGGGGACACAGTTTAATTAAATACCATCATTTAATTTGGGTTGTGGTTGCCTCTGGGTAGGCTTTAATTCTGGTACAGTAAAGGTTGAATACTCTGACTTATATTGGGCTGCAAGCAGCTAGAGGAAGATTAAGGAATAAAGACATGCAAGCAGCATGTTGTCTGTGTGTCTTTGTACCCTCTGTTTCCACTTTTGAAACAGCTGACCAACCTCAAAATGTAGTATACGAGTATATTGTCACTTTTAAGGGGTTGGCATTACTAATAGTAATGGGTTCTGGATTTGATGATTGGGTTTATTGACACTTCTTTACAATTCAGTCAATTATAACAGCTCACACATTGAAATCCTTCTGAACGTCTGTCTGGCAAATGCAGCCTGAAGACTCTCTCACTACTGTCCGAAACTTGGACTGGTCTCTGCTACTCTTGAACACGTGAATTAACCGCTTTTTTAACTGCCATGTGGCCGGGATAGAAGTCAACATGTCTTACAGTCCCTCTGTTCTGTTGTGTTGTCATGGGAATCCTCTACCAATTCCCAAGCAATAGTTTTCTTTTGTAAGTCATTACAACTTTCAGTTTCTATATTCCTGGAAATCATGTTTCATAATCAGTTGGATTCCAAGAAACAGTTGCTCTGTGGCAACATATTTGCCAATTCGTTTCATAGAGATGGTCCACATGTCACAATATGTTATGCCATTAAATGTCACCTCGGTGTCATGCTTTCAGTTTCTTACAATTGATAGTCACATGGCAGATGCATGAATTTGTGTGTTGGGAGTGACAGTATAACAATAAAAGAAACTCGCTGTATCAAGGCATGGAGGCCAATAGGGTTGTGAGATGTTGAGGTTGCCACATTTTCTAGGCAGTTGGCTCACAGATGGCGGTGAGGTCTGCTTTATGTGCCAGCTGCCCTGATACTCATTTCTGTCAGAGGCCGAGTGAAACCCCAGGGCCATAATGCGGTTGGAAGGATTACGTCAATTGAAAAATCCAGGGACCTCATCAGGAATCGAACTGGTGACCTTCTGGCTTGTAGCACAGTGCCTCAACCAACTATGCTACTGTGTGCCTCCCTTAACATAATATAGGATCCTGAAATGATGTGTTTTTGGTTTAAGTGTTATATGTTCTCCTGTACAGTGGTTACTGATTTTACTGCTGGATTCACAGTGTTTGTGAATGATGACCCAGACTTAAGGTTTACACTTGACTTAATGATACCTTCAGTTTGGGTACCTGAAATTCTGTGTATAATATTTACACTATTATCATGAAATTTTTCTTGAGGTATGGATGTAGCAACATCTGAGTTTAATGATATTAATGAAGAGATACTTGGCTAAATTTACCATTTTGTTTCTCTGTTTCAGTTATTATACATTGTGTTGGATAGCTTAATAACTCTTGCTGCATTCACAATGGAACATTGCAAAAATATGCCAGCTTTGCCAAGTTTCACTAATGTAACAACTCAACAAATGAATGGACTTTCATTGAATTTGATATTAGAGAAGTGTCATTATAGTTTGTTGACACATTTCGGTGTTAGTTAAAATTGTACTACAATAGTGAACACTTTGAAACCCATAAAGTATTTATTGGAGTAAAAAATGTTTCAAACAAACATATTAGAGAAACAAATTATAAATCACTCCGTCCAATGTGACCTGTAAGTTTTTTACTACGCAAAAACTTAACACCCTTACATGTTTCGGTCTCTGTGGACCATCTTCAGAGGACAAACATCACTACAAATAGGAAACCACTATCACATAATTTGTTTACACGCAAAGTATGTACACTTATATGTTACAACACACAGTACACAGAATAGAACGTTTCACAAACACAGCAGTTTCCTGGGAATGTAAGTTTTAAAAATGTATAAGATTCCTTGATGCTAATTTATTAAAAGTTTTTTAGATTGTCAATGATTAAAATTCGTAAACCATGCAGGCTCGTGTTCGTCCTCCCATCGTCTCTCTTATATGGGGCAGATATTGTGCCACCTGGCTATCTTGGAGTGGAGGTTCTTTATATCGTCCAGGGTTTGCTCGTGGCTGCTGTGCTGTTTTAGCACAGACGCAAGCAACTTTGTCTAAATGTTTCAATGTGAAATCTGTTTTGTAATTCACTTTAAGATACTACACTACTTGTGTCTTCTTTACAGACATATTTGTATTAATCATTTAACATGAAATATTTGGATGCTCTGAAGGGAAAAAATAGTACAAGCTAAATATGAAGGATATCCGGAAAGTAAAGATACAAAGTCCAGAAAATATATGTAATTTTTTTTTTTTTGGAAGGATTCACTTGTAGCGCTTTTACAACACACCTTTATTTTTTTCAACATAGTCACCATGGATTGCAATGCACTTACTAAGCCTGAGAACAAGTATTTTTTTATGCCAGTGTCATAGAAATCTCCCGCCTGCCCTCTTAAACATGGAGAACCGTTCTTGACACTTCTGGACATTGTTGATGAAGTTCATCATCTATCAGCACAAATGTTTTCATCAGTTTCTTGGATGATTTCATCAGTGACAACAGATGGCTTTCCACTCCTTATTTCATCATGAACATCACTTCTTCCCACATAACTTTCACAACACCATTTTGCCACATTTTGCCACATTTTGCCTGTTCATAACACGTTTGCCATAAACAGACACAAGCTGTCAATGAATTTCAGCAGCAGTTTCTCCATTCGCATGAAGAAATCGAATTACTGCACAAACCTCACATTTGGTGGGATTTTGAATCAACGCGGCCATTTCAAACACATTGCGAGCATAACGTTGCCGTGTCTGTGGCCGGTGAACTCAGCCCTGCCATACAGTTTCTATCTCACATGGCAGCACTGCCATTTCTGAAAAACAAAAATACTTGCATTTTTACTGCTCTTGTATCTTTACTTTCTGGATATTCCTCGTAAATGATCCATCAAGTATTATTACTACTACCACCACCACAACCACCTTCTTGTTTTTCCAGATATGCGTGATATAAGCAAATGGTCAGAACGCATGAAAGCACCATTAATAAAGCTGTATGGAGAAGAAGGTCTAACTACAATGTGGAACCAGTGGACAGATGCACTTGTTGGCATATACAAAAACCAAAATGGTGATATATGCAAAGGTTGTTTGTCTAAAATCACTTGCCCCACTCTAATAGTTCATGGAAATAAAGATGCCATGGTGGCATCAGAACATCCTGAGTACCTCCTGAAACACATTCCGCATAGCAAGTAAGTGCACTTTAATTGTTCTGATGCCAGTCTCTAAAGGAAAATAAGTCCCACACATTTTTTAGTTTGCAGCAGTTAACACATTTATTGCCATACCTCCATACTGGCATTTTACCTGCTGGACAGCCATTTTACCATGATGACTGGATTTTTAACTTACTGCACTCATAATGGTGATGAAAGAGGACAGCTGAAAAGCATTTTGGACCGTTTTCTTGGTAATGACTATGGATAGTACTATCTCCTGGTTGTAGTGCCATGTAGTCCAGTAGAAAATCACCAGTTCCATCTTCAGAGTCAAAGAGCAAGCCAAGATAACAAGCAGTAAGTACAATGCTTTCCATGTGTGCTGGTAGGAGCTCAGTGATGTACAAAATGTCAGTGAACTTCTACTGGACTTGAGTTATATCTCTGGGAAGGAAGACATTTCCAAATACAGTGACAACAGCCCATCACTTGACAGTACTGATGGTGGCAGATGGTAAGCCTTCACCTGTCAGGTGGTGGAATTGGTAGTGAATGTGTTAAAATATTTAATGCAGATATAAAACATATCCTGCCACTGCTGACATAACTTTTACCATTCCTGACTGTGAGATATTGCTTGTAACAATCAAAAATAAGAGACACATAAAGTGCAGGGGAACTGTCTGCTTAATGCTCACACTTATGCTGTTTTATGTACAGTAAATTTATCAGTCAGCAGAGGTTAAAACAATTTTGCATGCTTCTGTTGTAAACAGTTATATGAGGGCAAATCGAAAAGTCCTTGCCCATATTTTTTTTTTCGGCCACAATAATACACATACAAGGAAATCAAAATACAGGCAGTGTTCTACCTACCTTTGACTATTTTCCCACATAGTCACCACCCCGGTTCAGGCATTTGTCCCATCACACCACTAGTTTGGAAATGCCGCTATACTTGAACTTAACTATATTCTCAAAGTTTTCATTAGCATTTCTTGTTTTATGATTTTGTTACATAATCAAGTGACAGGACATGAACAAACATGAACTTTTATATGGGTGTCTTTCTCGAGATCAGGCTTCTTCCTCTGTCCTAATTGACTTTTGATATTCTGTGTGGTATCAGTATTTTTGCATTATAGTCAGTATAGCAATGGGCTACAGTCTGGATGGCCAGTGTTTTATTCCTGGCACAAGCAAAAGTTTATTATCCTCTCCACAGAATCCACACTGGTACTGGGGCCCAAACAGCCTCCTATCCATTGGGTACTGGGGACTCTTTCCCTGGGGGTAAAGTGACCAGGGCATCTAGTGCCAAGGTCAAGAATGGTGGGCTGTGCCTACACTCCCCATATGTCTTCATGGCATGGTGCTTAATTAATTAAGCATGAGAACAACTTTACCTTTTCTCTTTCTTTTTTAATTACCATCTGAATAGATCAGTAGCTGCCAAGATGAAGAGCAACATTGATAAAGTATCCCTTTGATTAAAAAAATGTATTGTACAAATGCTTACATACATATACTTGAATGTAGGTGTCATTCAGACGTTTGTATTTAATTAAGCAGCCTACTGTCTTCTAGGGCATTGTGCCATATAGTGTGATACAAGTTGAACAGTGTTTTGGAGGAATGTCACAGAACTTCTGCTGGACTACATGGTATCACATTCCAGAAGGTAGTAATTTGCATAGTCAGTACTGTGAAAACTTCAAAGCAGTTTACTTTCTCTCTACCAGATTCAGTTATATTGTTCTATAATACTTCAGCACCTAAGTCACAGGGTTTGAATGTAACATGTTTAAGGAGGATACATAGCGAGTAGTAAGTGCGTTTTCTTGCAGTATGCAACAGTACACAGTATCAGCATCGTTTTTCTTTAAATGAAATATCTGTTATTAAAAGTACACAAACATACAAATATGTGCACGTGAATATTACCACCTTTGTTTCCAAAATGAATGCTTCATTCTGACCTAAAATGTGTGATAAAAATCATTGTGTATACAAGTGTAACAGTGTAAACAGATTTATGGCATACAGTTCTCTTTGCAATGAAAAGATGAAACAGATTTTCAAGGTTTTATTCTATCATCACAGTTCTCCTGTGTATGATAACTAGGTGACATACATAATGTTTACATGTGACTGACAGAACAGAATTCGTTGTGTAATCTTCTGCAGTAATTGTGGTAGCTGTTCATCAGTTCTTTTTACCTACATTATGAGGTCTGTATTTCTACTCCTGTACAGTCATTTTACATGTAAATGATTAAACATTTTAATTCATCATGCATCTTTATTGGATAATTTCTGTTGTAGATGTTTGAATAAACAATGTTCTGCTTTCTTTTCAGGCTTCATAGATTTGAAGATGGCAAACACAACCTCCACTTACGATATGCAGATGAATTTAACAACTTGGTCACTGAATTTCTCAGTAAATGAATATGCCTTCAAGAAGAATGCTGAAACTACTTCAGTACTATAACCTGATGTTGGATTGAAGTAAACATTAATTTTCAGCACCCTTCAGTTTAGATTAAGTTTTATATACTCATGTTCAGTTCATACTGGAATGATTTTCTCAGTGACTGCGGGACACCTTCCTGCAGGAGGCATCCAACTTCTTCTGGGATCCATAAACTTCTTTGGTCAGTTCCGTTGGGTCTCCACGACGCGCTGCAGTTTGTTTCCGATCCCTATGCCGCTTCTTCCGTTCTTTGACCTTTTTCACTACAGCATCTTCCTCAGGGACTTCTTGATGCTCCCCAACGGAGTGCATCATTCTTGATTCAGCCTCAATCTTGTCTATATCTGCCTCTGCGCTTCATGGCAGGCGGTCGTCCCTTTTCGCCATGCATTCCCATTGGCTTCTCACATGGATTTCGTTTCTGCTCGGATGGCCTTTTTGATTTCGTTCATCATTTCTTGGGTGGCCAATATAGCTTTTGTATTGCTGTCTAATTTGAAATTCATTTCGTCTTTCATTTTGTTCATCATTTTAGATCTCGGTCGACCTTTCTATTGTTGTCAATATTCGCCATCAGGCGTTCCATCAGTTTTTCCATCTCCATCTTGTGACAGTATAATATTCGATGCAATTGTAATTTCAGTAATTCTTTCCAACTTGTGGCATATTTAAGTTCGTAACCAATTCTCACACCACTTGTAATGTGTTTACACACACACACTGCACCAGTTGTCATGAGTTTATGACTGTGTTATAGTGAGACCAAATTATCCAGTATTTATGTTGTAACCACCACTAAAAATCCAATACGCTCTGAGCCGCCAACTTATGACACCAACTGTAGTGTGTTTAGGTGAGTTAAGACTTGGTAATAGGTTTTATTAACCACTTAAAGGTCGTATCTACAATTACTTATCACCCTGTTACTGATTTACATAACTTACAGTAACTACACTAATCTTCTCAGCCTATCTTTAGTAGTATTCATGTCCCAAAAAAATGTACTCACCCTTTTAATGACACCAAATGCAATGTTCTTTAAATAGATATAAAGTTATTAATTTGAAATGAAGAAAACAAGCCTACTGCACCATGCGTGTTCGTAAATGTTCAAACTGATGACCATCATTATCCAGACAGTGCTGATGACGCGGAACAATGGAATCACAACCTGTATGAAGCATTTCATTTGTAATTTGAAGACACTGTCTTTCAACTCATGGACTGTTGCTGGTTTTGCAGCATAAACTTTATCTTTGACGTATCCCCATAAAAAGAAGTCCATGGGTGCAAGGTCCGGCGAACACGCAGGGTATTCAACACTACCTCTTCGCCCAATCCATCTGTCCGGCAAAGCTGTATCGAGATAGGCCCAAAGAATTCCTGGAGCAAGTCTAGGTAAACAGTACCATTGAGAGTGTTGTCAAAAAAAGAATGGACCTAGGATGCCCAATGTTTTATCCCACACCGCACTGTAACTCCTGGTAAGTTCAGATGGTGTTCCACAGTAACATGCGAATTTTGAGTAGCCCAGTAGGTGCAATTGTGTTGATTAATTGTGCCATTTAACTTAAATGTGGCCTCATCACTCCAGATAATTCTGTTTGGAAAAGCTTCATTTTCAGCACATTTTTTCAGGTACCATTGGCAAAATTCAGTTCTCCAATCAGGATCCTCTTCATTGAGAGTGTGGGTTAATGTTGGAATGTAACTTTTCCAGCTCGCTTCAAAATTCGATTAACGCTCGATTTTTGAGATACCTGTCTCACGAGCTGCTTACCGGCTTACCGGAGGAGGGTTTCCAGCAGTTGCTCTCTTGCGGTACCGGTAGATGACCGTGGTCTTATGGAAAGTTTTTTATAGACGTCTTGAACAGTTTCAGTTGCTTCAAGCTTATCTCTGATGCATGCAATGGTGCGTCGCATTGGTGGATTTCTTTGAAACTCCCTTGGGAACTGTCTTTGCATTCAGTGACCTCGTACTTCCAGTAACACAGCACAAATTTTCTATCCACAAAGCTTAGTCGTACTTCCACCATTATTTCAAGTTACTTACACCTAGAAAAATATAAAAATTTCGTCAGTTACGGACAGTCAAAGAGTGAGTACATGTTTTTGGGACATCTTATATTTTTAACACGGGAGCTATACAAGTCTCACTGCACTATAGCACACATAAAGTCTTGAAGTTAGGCAGTAAGTCTTCACTGCTGACTTCTCAGCTATCACTCACTATGACTGAGTATCACACATAATATCTAATCACGCTTTTCATCCTCACAGGCCGACCTCCTGTATTCTTCTGTACATCTGTTCCACCAGTACTAGTTCCCATCAGTGTATCTGTCACATCATGTAGCCTCAAATTGGATAGCTTGCCCTCTGTTGCGTAATCGCCGTGTTCACAGAGGTGTTGCTGGGTAATGCTGCCGAGAGATGTTTACTGCAACGCTGCATAGCAACCAGCTCGGTGCAGCTGTGCTTGGCTCAGCGCAGCACGGCACAGAGAAAAGCCGCTTTCCTTTTTGTTGCATAATAGCTGTGTTCCAGATTTCTGTGGCTCAATGATTCCTGCATGGCGTAAATACATCATAGTATCAGTATCATGGGAAGAGATAAATTTGTCATCCATACCAGAATTACTATTGAGTCCCATTTTTCATTATGTAGCCAATATTCATACTGTTTGGTGATCTACTTAATTTTCACATGTTAAAAAGTGTAGTAGCAGTTTCCTTCCAAGATTCAATTTCCATGTGTCTTTCACAGTCCTGCTCATTTCTTAGCCATGCAACATGAAATACTTGAACATTCACAAACAGAACTACCAACTAAACGAATTTCTGCAAAGTTTTTATGTGTATAACCTCTTGAGAAAAGACTTAAATGTAGAATTTCAATGGATTTTGACGGTCTGAGCTTGATCCTACTGCCTCAGGGTACACCATATAGTCTGTTTTTGTAATAATCATCATAACTATCGATTTCCAGGGGAGAGAATATTGCCACTACTGAAGAAAATCCTATACCTCAAAGTCAGTTTTTTTTCTTGCAACAGTAAATATTATTTAACCCCGAATGCAGCATATTGTTCTCTATAAAATATATGGAGGTACTGTGTAATTTGTAAGTATAATGAAAATAGAATGTCTGATCCTGGTTTGTAATAAAGGTTTCATAAATTTAAAACAAATCCACATAAATATTATCAGACCTCAGGGGCTTTTCTATTTACATTTTATAAAAAAATCACCTCCGTGCCCTCTGATGAGTATCTCCACCTTGAATTCCTTCTTGATACAACCTGTGTTACAGTTACAGTGCTGTCTTACTGTCTGTGTGATTATTTTTACTGCACTTAAATTTCTAATGGTGTCCTATTATCATGACATACTTGAGCTCTGTCATCTGAGATATGGTGCCATGTAATCTTCAGGGTTGAAGCTTCCCTTCTGGTTCATGCTGGTTTATAGTTTGACATACTCTGCAACCCTGGAGACAGAGGTGACATGGTCCTCTGAGATTCTGGTTTACTTTCAACAGACTACATGGCATCATATCCCAGAAGACAGAAGTCTTTGTAACCACTTCTGTGAGAATGAGTCCTGCATGGCATGTAAGAACTACAGAAGGTCATATCATTAGTACAGCAAGAGGAAAGTAATTTTATATTAGACCCCATTTCCTGCTTTACCCAGTTTTCTTTCTTAGATGTCTGTGTGTTTGTGTGTGTCCTCCCATTTTAACCTTTGAACCACTTCATAATTTTTAGTAAAATATTTGAGCATTATGCCATTTGAGGGCATTCAGTTAGGAGGGAAGTATTGTACAATATTCTAATAGAGTTTGGGATACCCATGAAATTAGTTAGTTTGATTAAAATGTGTTTAAACAAAACGTATAGTAAAGTCCTTGTAAGTAAACATTTGTCTGATAAATTTCCTATCCAGAATGGTCTAAAACAAGGAGATGCTTTATTGCTACTACTATACAACTTTGCTTTAGAATATGCCATTAGGAAGGTCCAGGGAAAGCAGGTGGGACTGAAATTAAATGGGACACATCAGCTGTTGGCGTATGCTGATGATATGAATCTACTGGGTGATAATGTAGATACCATAAAGAAAAACACACAAACCTTAATTTACGCAAGTAAAGAGATTGGTCTAGAAGTAAACACAGAGAAAACTAAGTATATGTTGCTGTCTTGTCACCAGAATGCAGGGAAAAATCATGACGAAGACAGGAAACAGATGTTTTGAAAATGTGGCACAGTTCAGATATTTGGAAACAACGATAACAGATCGAAACCTGATTCAGGAGGAAATTAAGAGGAGATCAAACTCGGGTAATGCTTGCTGCCATCCAGTCCAAAACCTTTTGTCTTCTCGTCTGATGTCCAAAAACATAAAAATTAGAATATACAAAACTATAATTTTGCCCGTGGTTCTGTAGAACATTAAGGGAGGAACATAGACTGAGGGTGCTGAGGAGAATATTTGGACTGAAGAGAGATGAAGTGACAGGAGGTTGGAGAAAACTGCATAATGAGGAGCTTCATAACTTGTACTCTTCTCCTAAGTATAATTAGAACGATCAAGTCAAGGAGGATGAGGTGGGCTGGGCATAGCACGAATGGGGGGACGAGGAATGTGTATAGGATATTGGTGGGAAAGCCAGACGGAAAGAGACCACTGGTAGGACCAAGGCGTAGGTGGGTGGACAATATTAAATTGGATCTTAGAGGGATGGGATGTTATGGATTGGATTGCTCTGGCTCAGGATCGAGACCAGTGGAGGGCTCTTGTGAACACAATAACGAACCTTTGGGTTCCATAAAATGCTGGGAAATTCTTATGCCATTTGAGGGGACCCTAATGCTATAATGATTTACCTGCAATAACAGTATGTCGGACATATGAAGTTGTAAGTTCAGAGTGACACTGGTGCTACTTACTGTTTACGTATAAGGTGTCATTATGAAGTATGGTAATGTATAATCCAGAAACATGGCTTTGCTGCTACAGTCATCTGTTTGTAGAAGTTAAATAACTTGCAAAAGAGGAATACGCCTCTAAGTTTTATTACGATAACTGATGACCTGCTAGAGCTGGACATGGTAAAACTGGCATGGAGATGGATTGTAAAGGCACCAAAACTACTTTTGAGGTTATATCCGACAATTATAATGTGGATAGATTCGATACATACATAATACGTTCTTCGCAAAAGTAAAATGGAGTAACAACAGTAATACCAATAAATAGGGCCAGAAGTCTGTGTAACACCGATTAGGCTTTATGAATTCTGCTGGGAACTCCTTGTTTGTGCGTTGGAGGGAGGGAGGAAGGGACTGAATACAACATTTGCTATTAATAGAATGACATCATCCCCACATTTCTAGACAGGCTCTTCATAGTCATATATCACTGATGACGTAGCAACTTCGGTTGTTGGTATAAACATGACGTAATGCAACTTTGATACAGACGTTTCAGTGATGTATATTTAGTTGGGGGAGGGGTGCGAGTCATAGTAACATTATGCAAAAATTGTTTTGGAAGGAATTTTTAACTGTTAAAAAATTAGCACTCCATGTAGCATTTGGTTTAAAGAGTTTCTTCTTTTACCTTCCTATCCTAGGCTTGTTTGCATACGGCCCCATAATTTGCTTCAACTGTATAGGTTTCCGCCCACTATTCATTTTTGTTCAAAGGATTTTTTCTTGTTGGGATGAGGAAGCCGCATATCGGATAAGCTGGGCGTTCATTTGTGTGCTAAAGATGACTCAGAAGCAAGCGAGGGCAGGTTATCCTGTTGACCTGCCTACACTCATAGCTTCTCAGAACAAGACGGATGTAAGTGCATTCCGTCAGAATTCGTGTCACGTCCTCTCATAGAAATCAGCTGCACCGAGCCGAGCCTTAACTCCTACAAGCGACGAGCTACTTAGCGCTGCTTGCCACATACTATAGCTGTTCAGTTACCCACACGGCCTCGTTAAAAGCTGGCCACAATCCCGTTTCTGATTCAGGTTAGTCCAGTCCACACTTTCCCACTTTCGTTATTTAAAACCAAATAAGCTGGAAAAGACAGCATTCTATCACAAGGATTCGCAAATCAACATCTTCCTTTTCTAAGCGTATATTTTTTTAGAAAGTGCTTTTATCCGTATCACCATAATCATATTATGGATGAAGGGATCCCCCATGATGAATACGGCCCGTGTTCAAGCTATGTACCAAGCTACTGCTCAGCACTTCGGTATATGTGTGCAAGTTATCCCCTCGATGCTATTTGATTTCTTAACGGCTTTCCTTATTTCCTACACATTACTTCCTTCAGAATATCCGCAGTGCACAATTAATTTTCCAGCCCTAGCATGCAGCAAGTATAGCGCTATGCTTCATGCTGGTTTCTTGCTTGGCTTATCCTTTAAACCTGAAGATGTAGGGGACATGTTCATCCGAAAAGTCGGTTGACTTTCAGCGGACTACGCAGCGTTATAGAAGACAGACCTCTTCATGACCAATGCTGAGAAAACTTCAAATACTACATAGATGAACCAGATTTCTGAGCGCAACATTCAACTACTATTTTTCTTCGGTTCGCAAGCGTAACATTAAATTTCGGTTTCTTATTTCATAGAATACAGGTAACTTTGCTTTATGTATAGGCACTACGTTGTGAGGGGTGTGGTGGTAGCACTCCGTTTGTTCAAGATCCCACTGGTTGTTACTACGGCCGCTCTTCTAGAGCGCTGTCTGGAATCCGGCGGTTCCTTAGCCAGGACTGGACCCTGTCCTGTCCTCTATAAAACAGCAGTCCACATCCTTGCACCTATTTATCTGAGAAACATTTTAATATTATCCTGTCATTACGTCTCCAGATTTTCCGAAGAAATTTTTTTTACAAATCTCTCGTTTCTACCATGTGTACTACGTGCCCGGCCCATCTCATCTTCCTTAATTTTATTGTGCTGATAATATTTGACAAATAGTACAGGAACATATACATAGAATTTAAAAAATCTTATCCTGTGTGCAAGAAATCGACCCTTTTAGAGTTCACACTAATACTGTCAAATGTGCTCCCCTGCCAATCTTTATTCCACCATTTTCTCCACAATCACCCTCACCTATCATCTGGGGCTGATACAATAGGCCAGAAGTGGCCGCAGAACAAGGGACATAGTCCCGCCCCACTAGCAATAAAAAAAGTACAAGTTCGTCACGTTATACGTGCCTGTATGTTTTATCTACATACTCAGCACTTTTCAGCATGCTGATATGATCAAAAATCGGAAACCCTTTTATATTCATAATTTTTCTTCCCATATATGACCTCTCGACTTCAGTTTATATGTTACTTAGGCTAGGAAATTGTTATGCTGTTCTTGCATACAACACTACATACACTTTACTCAGGTCCAGATCCCACATAAGGTTCCTTCAGCTGGTCCGGTTTGAGGACGTTTCTTATTGTCCCTTTTTCCAATCCTAATTAAGTATAAGATACAACTGAAGCTTTCTAGAAGAATTCGTACTAGGCAGTCGCCATTAAATGCACCCACTCTAATGACAGGCTGGCGGAAATTATATAACAATAATTGCACACCTCACTGGCCTATTTCTGTACACGATTTCTGCTAGCGTCACTTCCTCTTCTCCATAAGTTGTCAAGACATAACCTTTAATCCCGCATTTGTAATTATTAGTTTAGGAAAAACAGCTTCCTTTTTCTGCAAACAGCCAAGTGCCGGGTCAGGAATATACAGGTAGCTCCCAACTAAGGATGTGATCATTTGCTGCATGATCAGGGCTATCATCCATTTCAGGGATCGGTGATGGATGAGTGTGGAGCTATAATGGAATGATGATTAGCAGAGAAAAACAGTAAACCCAGAGAAGAACTTCGTCCACCATGAATCTCACATTAAGTCACCCAGGACTGAACCGATGCCTCCGCGGTGAGTAGCCGCCGATAAGATATGGCACGATGCCGTTATTAGTTGCCACATGCATGGTCTGTGATCATACCTGTATACATGTATGCTTAGCTACAGTGACTGTTCAAGTAAACTTCGCATGGCTGTTCAGAGCAGTCGAGCGTTACGTGTCATTCGAGGGCAGAGCTTCGGGCCCCCAGATTTTTGGGCTCCTCAACGCTAAGGTACAATAGCATTCTGAGTCAGTAGCAACAAATTTGGGCTATGATTATTCTTCGTGTTTTTAGAGAATCAAATGTTTCAAAGTCTGTGAATTCTGTTCCTCTTCTGCATGGGCCCCGGGGCGACGGCCCCAGTCGCTCGCTCTCAAATCCGACCCTGTTGCAAATCCGTACATTTTGCCCACACAGTGTATTGTGTGTTTCTCGTGATTCTCGCAATAAGCAGCGATTATTTCTGAGTGAACTCTACGGCTCTTCTGACTGTATCCTTGCTCAGAAATGAACACTTACCACTTACCTCAGTAGCAGATTTCTTATCGCCCTAGCTGTCTGACTTTCAAGTGGCCCAGTTCGTGTAGAACAGTCGCGCGACCCCTACGGAGTTCAGATATTAGTAATAAATGTAGAGCTGTCCATGTGCTTAATTAATGACCATGTCATGACGATATATGGACGTGGAGGAATAGTTCCACGCATTTATTATCTCAGCATTGGGTGAACGTGAATGGTCAGCTTAAAGTCCTGGTAGCGAAATAGCCCCCTGTACCTATTGGATATGGGGCTGCGTGGCCCCCAAAGCCAGCGTGCCAAGAATGGAATCCCGATTGTTTGATCGTCTAGCCCGCAGCTTAGTCGCGATACCGACTGAGCTATGGGACCCGTTATTAATATCTACTTTCTCGTACATAGGATAGCATAGTTTTGTAATTGTATGGAACTCGGTCCCTTACAGATAGAGAGTGTCTGAACGGAAGCTTCGAGTCAGAGCTAGGACGTGACAGGGGGCTGGAACATTTATACGATGACGAGCCTAGAAATTCTTACTCTTCGCCAAATATTATTACGATGATCAGATTAAGAAGGATCTGGTAGGTTGGACATGCAGCATATATGACTGATAAAAGCCTACTGATTTTTGTCAGAAAATCTGAAGAGAAAAAAATCACTTGGTAAATCTAAACATAGATGGGAGGATAGTGTTAAAATGGATCTTATGGAATAGGGTCGGAGTTCTTGGACTGAATTTATCCGACTCAAGATAGGAACCAGTGGCGGGATCTTGTGAACAAGACAGTGAATCTTCAGATTTCGTAAAGGACTCCGAATTTGTTACTAGTTGAGCTGCTCTCATCTTCTCGTTGAGTTGGTAGAGGCAGTGTTGTAAACTCGATGATGATTAGTAATAATAATAATATATACTCGGTAGAATTGTAATGTTGCCGCATGAGATTATAGAAACACAGTGAGCACACAGAACGCTGTGCGCGCTGGTTGCAGCTAATGCTAATTCTGCTGCTGGATGAATTTAGTCTCTGACGTCAGCTGTCGTCATTTCCATGAGAAGTGCTTATTTAGAAGAGGTTCTTAGCTAACAACAACAACTCCTCAATGAAAAAATAGGCTTCTTACTAAGTGTCACAAAAGGCCTCGCATCTAGACGAATTCTTTGGCTAACCGATCTAAGTTAAAGAAAAAGGACATGAGATTTGGGACGTGGAATACGTGGTCTGACAATAAAGTTCGCGAACTCATTGCGCTATAAGTGCTACATACCTCATTGCTGAATATCATTGTGGTCGCCTTCAAAGTATTCCCCTGGGGAAGCTATGAACCGATGCCAGCGCCTAGTCCACCCTTCAGAGCAATTTTTAAGTGGTCTTGTGGCATTGCCCTCAGAGCTGCCTTCGTATTACTCCTGATGTCATCAATGTCATCAAAATGCCTTACTTACTTATGGAGCTGAGCCATTTTTGAGCAGAAGCAAAATCTGCAGCTGCTCAAGAATTTCCCAAAATTTTATGGAACCCAAAGGTTATTTACCGTTTTCACAAGAGCCCTCCACTGGTCCTTATTCTGAGCCAGATCAATCCAATCAATGCCATCCCATCCTATCTCTCTAAGATCCGTTTTAGTATTGTTCGCCCACCTACGCCTTGGTCTTCCCAGTGGTCTCTTTCCTTCTGGATTTCCCACCAATATACTTCATGCATTCCTCTTCTCCCACATTCGTGCTACATGCCTTCCCACCTCATCCTCCTTAATTTAATCATTCTAATTATACTTAGAGAAGAGTACAATTTATGAAGTTCCTCATTATGCAGTTTTCTCCAACCTTCTGTCACATCAAAATGCCACCCTTTCAATATTTCCTTCATCTTCGGGAACAGATAATAGGAACTGCGTGCTAGATCCGGTGAATAGGGACGGTGTTCCAGCACAGTTGTTTACTAGCTAAAAACTCCCTCACGGACAGTGCTCTAATTCAAGCTCAGATATTCTCACGACGGCACACCAAAACACACTCAGACAATAATAGTCGCCACTCAGATAGAGACTGCCATAGATCAACAACAACACAGCTGTGAAACGCTGACATGCTAACTTCATCAAACTGTACTGAGGTTTCTGTCCGGTGCTGCCATAGCAAGCACACGGTGGCGAGTTCGCGAACTTTATTGTCAGATATTGTATAAGACATACCTCNTTGATGATTTCACGAATTTTTTCAACATTTTCATGTGTTCGGGCCATTGCAAAAACGACGATCACACAAAACAGTTGTCACTATAAACTCTGCCGAAACTAGTCCTTACCTTCTGAAGCAACGGTAGTCGGCTTATCGACTCAGGAATGTTAGCTCTATGCGCTCATAGCGGCAAAACGCGGTACTACAAAAGCTCTGCCCACAAAAAAAAAAGAGATCGGTTTCTTTTGGGTACCCCATCGTATAATGCAGGTTCGCTCAGGATTGTGGCGGAAGAAATATCAAAATATGTTAGATTTAGTGGGCGTACATGATGTCAGATGGGATGGAGGTGGCACCGAACCAGCAGCCGAATATAGATTTTTCTATGGAAAGAGAAATGAAAATCATGAATTAGGTACAGGTTTTTACATACATAAGAGAATCATATCAGCAATTAAGAGGGTAGAGTTTGTTAGTGATAGGATGTCATACGTGTATATAATACGATGAACTAAGAGGTCGCTGGTGTGATATCATCATTCTGAACGTTCATGCTCGAACAGATGATAGAATTGAAAACACAAAGGAGAGATTCTATGATGAACTAGGACACGTAGTCGATAAATTCCGTAATACCACATGAAAACTTTGTTAGGGGCCACCTGCTCACGCTGGTTCCTGGCTCGCGGATTTTTCAACCCTGAAGAAGGAGGCGATACGTTCCTCCGAAACAGGTTTTCTCCGAGCACTTCGGTTTCCCCTGCCAATCTTCATTCCACCAAATTCTCCATCATCATAATCACCCGGGGCAGGCTACAATAGGCCAATCAGTGGCCCCCGTGCCGAGTGGCCCCAGTTGGACTCCACCCCCCACTAAGCGAATTTAAGAAGAAAATGGAGGCTGTTCTAGAAGTACACAAGGAAAACTAAGTGAGGGAAAGACACTTAAGATTGCTCATCCTCTAAGATTGCTCAGTGACATTTTCTTGTAGTTGGCAACACTGCCGACTGGCGCCATTCTGTCGAGAGATGAAGCTCGTGAGGTACTCTTCAAAGGTGTGAAGAATTCTCCTGAACATGGTTTAATAAAGACATATCAGGTAGGAATAACAATTCATCAATCTTGATATAAATCTGAATATTAGGAAGGCAAGCTTTCTTGCAAATTGTAATAATATTTTCTTGGATATAATTATTCCTGTTGCAAGGGGATGAACCGTGCAACGGTTCTTCTTCGTTAAGTTCCTTGGAGTCCCCCCCCCCAAGCGCCAGGATGCGAGCCGCTCCCTTTCTTTCCGACTAACGTCCTTGGCTGACGTCAGGTCAGCTGACCTTGTCTCCCCCCCCCCTTCCTGGACTTAGACAGAGGTTTCTTGCTTAGCTCAAGTGCAGCTAATCTTTCTCTCTTCCCGTTGACCTTCGCAAGGAAACATCGCTGCGTCTAAATTTCGTTTCGGAAAGTTGAATAGATTGTGTTAGAAATTTGGTTTCGGCCCGCAGCACTGATCGAAGGGGGAAGCGTGCCCTCACGACATGGTCAAGGGTGGATCAGTCGTGAGGTGAATCTTTGAGTTTGTATATTCAAGAAGTATATTCAAGTAAGTGGCTTACTAAGGTAGTATACTCCGTGAGGCGCATTTTGGTTTGAGTACTGACGCCGTGTGGCGTAGGGTAATTTTGGTTTTGTCTAAGGTTGTGATAAACAGCAGATCGCCCTTCAGGCGTGTTCAGCTGTGTATGTAAGCTGTTTATATTTCCTTGTGCCCTCAAGGCTTGCCTAAGTACATGCTTGTACTGGAGAAGTAGAAATACGCCATGAGGCGTGGCTGACTTGACTTTCTGTGCTGTTAGGCACAGCGTAGTTCTGTATCAATCATTTATCACATGTTCTGACCAGTCACTGCCCTTAAGGCGGAGTCCATTTGTATACATATGTTATCAATATATATTTATTTATATGTTTGAGAACGCCAGTTGTGTATATGTAGACTTGTGCCGTATGTTCCATACCAGCTTCTGCCTAGCGGATCCGTCCAGCCTGGCCCATCGTACCGACTGTGGTTTTCCTCCCCCGAGATCCCTTACACTATCCTAGGGAGGCATAGTGCATCACGCTAAAAGCAAGTCGTTTCTTGTGAGCCTGTCCCTTACCCATATAGAGTAGGGATTCACGGGTCAAAGTGGGTAGAAGAACGGGGTTCTTTACCCACAGGGTCGAGGGACACGGCTCAGGGAACACATACCCTAAGATGTGAACTACTCGCTGTTTGCCTGTGTGAAGTCGTCTGCCAGCTTTGGCCAAAAGGTGGAACTTACGTAGAAGCCTGTAAGACTGCGCGCTATCTTAGAGGCACAATTTCGCTTCGTAGAAAAGGTTTCAAACTAGGATGTTCTTTCTTACAGACGTCTGTTCAAGCGCATTATGAGTTCAACATATTCCAGGAAATCAGACCGGAAACTGATATTTACTCAGGAAATCGTAGACGAAGCTAGAAGCAGAATTGAAAAAGGTGAAAGTAAAAAAAAAAGTAGCTGCTTCGTTGGGAACGAAAGAATCCACTTTGAGAAATAGGCTGAAATTGGTAAGTGAGCACTATTAATTAAATAAGTCATTTAATATTTTATTTATTTATTGTTTATCGTTTGTTTATTTGTTATACTACATTTTAACTAAAGTTTACAATATTTACTCTCTGAGTAAATTATATAATTTATTCTTGCTTTAACTTACAGGGAACTGTACCAATTTCCCTGGGACGTCATAAGCCGTGTTTACTCCTGAGCAGGAACGGCAACTGGCAGACCATTTGAGGGAGCTAGACAAGAGATTCTATGGCATTACCAGGAAACAGCTCATGAGTTTAGCGTACGAGTTTGCTGACAAGAACAAAATTGAACATAGGTTCAACAGGACTGTGAGACTAGCGGGAAAGAAGTGGGCATTGGCCTTCTGCAAGAGGCAAAATCTAACGTTACGCACTCCAGAGAAATGTAGTCTAGGGAGAGCAATTGGATTCAACAAAATCCAATGTGAGCGATTTCATAATAATTTGGTCAGTGTGTGCGCTGAGAAAATGTTTCCAGCTCATCGTAAATTCAACGTGGACGAGTCTGGTATCTCGACAGTACCCAATCGTGCCCCAGAGGGAAAGAAAATCGGCTGCAAAGTGACATCAGGCGAGAGAGGGCAGACAGTAACTGTACTGTGCTGCATATTTGTTCCTCCAGCTATGATCTTCGCAAGAAAGCGGATGAAACACAGATGCCCCAGAATTCCCACTGCCAGTAATTTCTGACACTGGTTTTATCAATACTGAACTCTTCGTACAGTGGCTAAAGCAGCTTCGTGAAGCCCACGAAAGAGGATCCAGTTCCCCTGATACTGGAAAACCACATCGCACATTGCAGTATTGAAGCCGTTCTCTTCTGTAAGGAACATCATATAACTCTTCTGTCTTTACCACCGCATACAAGCCACAGGCTTCAACCTTTAGATGTTGGCTCTTTCGGGCCTCCGAAGGAAGCCTACGCCCAAGAGGCTGACAGGTGGCTAGTGAACCATCCTGGCACCAACGTTGTCAGAATCTTCAGATCAGCCTACGAGAGAATGGCAAACATGAAAATAGCAGTACGTGCATTCGAGAACAGGAATGTCTTCCCAGATGAAGACTTTGTACCCTCAGAAGTGACATTCTGCCCCGGTGTGCAAGAGAATCAAGCCACTGAAGAAGACTCACGTTTCAGTGAACAATGAAAATGGTAATGAAGTGTCCTTAACAGTTCAACCTGCGATAGTTGAGGAGCCACAAGTCTCACCTGCTATGATCTCACCATTACCGAAGGCAGTGCAGACGAAGAAGAGGAAGAGGACTGCTAAAAAGTATGAGGTTTTATCTTCCTCTCCATAAAAGAACGCTCTTCTAGCAACGAGGAGAGAGCCAAGCAATAACAAACAAGGCAGCAAAACCCTTCGTTACGACGGCCCTTCAGTAGCGTCAACTTGTTCTGCAGCTGTAGAAGAAGAGAAAATTAACTGTCCTGTTTGTGGCGAAGCCTATGAAGAGCCCATTACTGAGGACTGGGTGCAATGTAGGGCGTGTAAACAGTGGTGGCATGAAGACTGTTCAAGCTACGAGGGCTTCGGACCCTTCAAATGCGACGTAATCTTAAAGGACACGTTTCGCATTCTTAGAGGACAGTGCCTGTAAGACTGCGCATTTACCATTCGTCAAAAAATGTTCTTTTAAAAACAATATATTTAATTTTGTAACTCCTTTGATGTATTTGTATTCTCGAGGATCGGGAGTTTTGTTTAGTACGTGTAAATGCAGTTTTTCATGAATCACAAAAATGATGTGTTTATGGACATAAATACATTAAGTGCGCAATCTTAAGTGTTGCTGTCTCGTCACAAAATGCAGGGCAAAATCATGACACAAAGATAGCTAACAGATGTTTTGGAAATGTGGCACAGTTCACAAGAACGACTATAATAAATCAAGGAGGAAATTAAAAGGAGACTGAACTCGGGTAATGCTTGCTACCATTTAGTCCAGAAAGAGCGAAGAGGAATGCGTGTAGGATATTGGTGGGAAAGCCAGAAAGGAAGAGACCATTAGGAAGCCTAAGACGTAAGTGGGTGGACAATACTAAAATGGATCTTAGAGGGATAGGATGGGATGGTATGGGCTGGATCGACCTGGCTCAGGATAGGGACCAGTGCGGGGCTCTTGTGAGCGCGGTAATGAACCTTCGGGTTCCATAAACACTGCGAAGCTGCTGAGTAGCTGCACAGTTGGCGACTCCTCAAGAAGGGCTCAGCTTCATGAGTGAGTGAGTGAGTGAGTGTATCTTTTTATTTCTCCAGTTTCTTCGCCCCGCAAGTGGAAATATTTGTCCGTCCCTTTTTTTTTTTGAAGAGAGTTAAGTAACATTTACATTCCCAAGCTGTAGCCTTTAAAAATGAATGCCTATTGTTTATGTGGCATGTCCCAGTAGCTTGCAGGTCTGTGAGATAAATGAAAGTGCACAACTTCACGCTAAAACTCTGTACTGACACCATAATAGGCAAGACAAGGCAAACCAGCCAGCAACTAATCCTCCACAGGGTTCACAACCCACTTACACAGCACATTCCTTGGGGACATAAATGGCATAAGTCATCTTCCCTTATTAACATTTTATCTTTTGAAACAAGCCTGTGAATCGCCGTCTCTGAGTGAAGAATCTAAATTGTAATTGATCAGAGTTCCAAAGAAATACGAGTCGATAAGTAGAAGTAAAGGTTGTCTCTGTGCTTAGTTAATTGAGCACCACGCCATGAAGATATGTGGGGGAGTAGAGAAATACCTCCACCATTCTTGGCTTCGGCGCTAGGTGGAGGTGAGTGACAAGCTTCACGCCACGGCCACTTTGCCTCCGGTAACTAATGGATTGGAAGCTGGATGAGCCTCAGAACAGGAAAATCTCTTGCCCTTACCGGGAATCAAACCCCGGCCGTCAATCCCGTCGCTGTACCGGCTGAGGTATCCCGGCTCCATAATTGGAAGTAGGAATGGAAACATAAAGACCTTCATGCAAACGACCAAGTGTGTTGTAATGGAACCTCCAGTACCGAAGCCGCACCGGAGCGGCTGCTGTCCATCTGCCATCCCTGGGATGTCGTGTCGCCTCCTTGCCCTTCCAGATGCCCATATTTCAACATGTTTCAACTGAAAGGCACTGCTTCATATTCAGGAGACTCCAGTTGAAAGCGCAGCCGGGACACCGACGATCCTGAGAGGTGTTTCGTGGTTTTCCCCAGTTTCTCCAGGAAAATGTGGGATACTAGCTCATGTTAGTTCACTCCGCTCCCATCTACGAACTTCCCAGTTCAGGATTCGCTGCTCCCCCTGTCAGTCGACACTGCACAATCTGAGCTACTGCTGACGCCTTCAAATAACAGTAAACAAACAGTCCGGGAGGTTGCCCCACCAAAATTCTGTATACATACAATACGTATATATGCACATAATTCGGTTATTAATGAACAGTAACAGGCGATTATACAAAATTCCTCTTGGAAATTGTAAATAATCGCCGATCATCATCTCAATATTACCGTGACAATATGCACCATCTGTCTGTCTATGGCTCTACAGACCTTGGCTGCTTTTTCAGTTTCTCTACGCAGTCGGTAGGACTCCTTGCACGGGGGATGAGCCCATCGCAAGGCCGCTACCTACAAAAGGAGCAACACAAACACCGAATAAATTCACACATACATCCATGCCCCGAGTTAGATTCGAACCCACAATCCCAATGTTCGAGCAGGCGAAGACGGTTCATGCCTTCGACCGCGCGGCCACTGTGACCAGCGACAACATGCACAATGTATGTTCAAGTATATACGTGTAGTTATTTTGTGTTGCTGCGTCTGCTGTTGATGATTGTGTACCAACGAGTGAGATACTGGGATTGTGAATGTTACGCAGGCAACAGCGTATAAGTGGTCCCGATCTATGGGAAGCCGATGTCCTGAAATGTGATATGCGGGTTCCAACACGAAAAACCTAGCCGGCACAGAGTTCTTTTTGAGTTCCCACATATCCTTTTGTGTGTGTGTGAATCGATACACATTCTCGGACAAGAACTCGAAGTTAGAAGATTTGTTCTTTAGTTTCTTGAGGTGGGGTGAGACTGAGCCCACTTTGCTACGCCAGCCATTAACTGGCCTACTGTACGGCCTCGAATGGTAGATGATGAATGTGGAGCAGTCAGTGGAATTAGAATTGGCAGGGGAAACCGAAGCACTCGGAGAGAACCTTCCCCAGTTCCACTTTGGCCAACACAAATCCCACTTGACCTGACCTGGACTCGAACCCGAGCCGTCGCGGTGGGAAGCCGGCAACTAACTGCCTGAGCTATGGCACGGCCCAAAGTTAGAAGATTTAGTCGGGAGCAGTGTTTGCAGTTTTAAAGAAAGAACTCATGATTAGGGAAATGCATTTTCTGAAGTCGTGTAGAACCCACTGCAGAGGGTCCTCTGCATGCCACCCGGCTATGAAGCGGTAAAAATTACTAGCGTTTAAGGAGAAGCTGTACCTCCTTCTTCAGAGTCGAAGTGATGGAAGACTATGAAGGGCACAGCAAATTTCTACGAAACGTCTATGATTATGACCATTTTTGTCACTTTGCCCAGAATCCTCTACAGCAGTGGTTCTCAAACTTTTTACGTCTGCCC